TATCTGCCCCCCGTAAAAACTGGAAGTTCGAGTGCGTGTCTCTCCGTGCACGCAGGCAAAGCATGTGCTCATTTATTCTACATTCGCGTCGGGAGTCCTTGGCCTGGGACCGACTCGGAGCCACAGTCGCGGCGGCGGCGGTGGCGGGGCGGGGCGAGCGTCTTCAGCGAAAGCGAGAGCGCTCTTTGCTATGCACTACTTGGCGGGAGCTGTTTATCAAAGGCTACTCTTGTGCTACTTGTTAGAGTCTACTTGTTAAGGGTTACTTGGTAAGGACTTTTTGTTCGGGTCTATTTGTTAGGGGCTACTTGTAATCTACTTGGCACATGTTGCCTTTTAAGCGCTAACTTCATTAGCAATCGAGCGTCGTTTGCTAAACGTTGTTTGTTTTAAGTCACTGGAAAGAGACTGCGATGTAAGGAATCTGTTTACCTACAAGGCGACTTAAGTCTCTTCACTCTCTATACAGACTGCTATAAAAGACGAAGCAATGATAATATACCTTGTTAGCGAAGTTCGAATCGCTAAGAAACCCCACGAACTAATAATAAAAACCAGGAGAAGGTTTTGGGCAATTACAAATGAGAAATATATATCCTAGCAAATAATAATATGTTAGGATTACGACAGCGTGGTCTTGCGTCACACCAGATTCGTCTACATCCCCCCTCCACCCCTATACCCCTACCCCCTCCTACTTGCAATATATGCTCACCAAGGGAAACGCGTTCTGCAGTTTAGAAAGCGCTGGGTTATGTAAAGTATTTGTTTTTGTTAGAGCCCGCTACCCTAGTATCTATTGCATCACACAATCGTTTGGAAGCCCTTCCAGGAAGGATAGAATTATAAAGAAGAAAAAGAAGCAAAAATAATGACGTTGGTATTTAGCAATAGCGCGTAAAATCAAAGGTATCATTTTGTACTTTTTAGTGAACACTGTTTTATACTTACGATCCCTGTAGGTTATTTATAGATATCCTTCGTAGGAGTAGAGTAATTTGACCATATTTTTATTTCCCCAGGGTGGTCATGTACTACGTGGATGGTGGGGGGAGAAGCCCGGTGGAGGGGAAGAGGGAGAGGGATAGGAGGGGAGACCGAAGAGGGAGGGAGAGAGGAGGGGAGCGACTGAAGAGAGAGGGGAGAAGCGGGGGAAAGACTGAAGAGGAGGGGGAAGGAGAGGGAGGGGAAGGAGAGGAGGTGGGAGGGAGGGGGAGACTGGAGAGGGAGGGGGGAAAGAGGGGAGACTGGAGAGGGAGTGGGAAAGGACGGGGAGACTGAAGAAGGATGGGAGAGGAGGGGAAGACTGAAGAAGGAGGGTGAGACTGTAGAGGGAGGGAGGGAAACTGATGAGACAAGAGGATAGGTATAGGAGAGATTGAGGGGGGAGAAACTGTTGGGGAGGATGGGGTGCGGGGGTATCGGAAGGGAGAGAGGGAGAGGGAAGAGAGAAAAGCAACATAACCATACATGTCAGAGCAGACCGGCAAAGCTGTTGCGGCAAGGATCGCCATTGCAAAACATATATATACGGTCCCACTTTAGGGGCAAAATGCTGAATGTAAGATCAGTGATATGCTGACGTAAAACACCTTCCTTATACGCGAGAACCAGACGTGAGAAGCTAGGCAATTTTGGGAACAGATCTCGTCTTCTCTAGCCTTGACCTGTTCTATCACTGCAGGCCAGCCCGTCCCTGCGGGGAGAGGCAGGGAAGGCAACTTTCGAACACGCAACGATAATAGGGGTAATAAGTGGGAGGGTGAGAGGTAGGGGAGAGAGGGAGAGAGGGGGAGGGGGATGGAGGGAGGGGAGGGGGAGGGAGAGAGGGAGGAGGGGGAGGGGGGAGGGAGGAGAGAGAGAGAGAGAGAGTAAGAAAAAAAAGAGAGCGAGAGAGAGAGAAAGAGAATGAGTGAGTAATAGAAAGAGAGAGAGAGTAAGAGAGAAAGAGAACGAAAGAAAGAAAGATAAGGATAAAAGTGAGAGCGTTAGAGAGAAGAGTAGGAAACAAAAGACAAACCCGAAGCAAGTTCTCGACTCTCGGGGAACATATCCAAGCAAGAAAAGGAATCAAGTTGGCTCTTTCACCTCGCGTTCGGCCATGACTTAGAATCCTTCCCTGGTCAAGGACTCGGGTCCGGAGTGCATATGAGCGCGCGTTCGAACACGTGGGTCGGGGGGCAAGGGCGTCGGCAAGCAGCTGTGCCAAGGTCGCGCTGATCGAACCTGCCTCATGGCATGTTGCCCGAAGATGAAATTGGGTATTGCTTCCTGTCGTCTCGTAGAAAGGAATAAGAAAAAAAATAGAGGAAATGCAATAATGAGAGAGGAAAACTTGGGAGACAGGGTTGCGAAATTGAGTCAGCGAATGGGGATGACCTTCAGTTACTTGTTAGCTCCCGAGGAGAAACTTCTCTTGTCGGGAATGTATTTTGCTTTGCTGTTCGGATGAGGGTCGATTTCGGATGAGAGAGAGAAGATACATATGTACAGAGAGAGA